TATACATAACTTTTATTCTTAGGTATTTTCTACAAGAAGGTGGATGGGCTCTACATAAGGCTGGTTTCCTAGGCTTATTATATGTTGGTTTGGATTGACATTGTCTAAAGGTTTCCAAATTATTTTTCACTATCGTCCATGTAAGACTAGTAAGGCACCCCGATCCTCACCCATTACAGGCTACAAATGGAAAAAGGGTTCAATTCAAGTGGAAGTATTTCACTTGCAATTACGGAGGTTATCACCTTACGAGAGCATAGGTACTTTACTTCCTCTTATAAAGGACGAAGCTTGGGTATAAAGTTCATGTATGAGATGCATCGTGCCATTGTGTGCAAATATATCCTAATTTATTGAGAGCAATATATACAGAAAAAAAAAATATAAGAGGCATAGTAAAAGAAATGTCTGTGAATTTTTTTGCTTTTTATTTTTGATTTGTTTTGTTTTGTTTTTTGTTTTTTGTTTTTTGTTTTTTTTTACCTCTTTTACTAAAAATGAAGAATAAAAATTTAAGAAATTGATTAAGATTATTTAAATCAAAGTTTGAGGATAATAAGTAATTAATTTTGACCTGACTCTCGAAAACAAAAGGCGTTTTCAGCGGAGTCGTCAAGCTGTCGTAACGGTTTTGTGTTCGTCCGACGAATTTGGAAACGAAATAAAAAAAATGGAGTCGCCACCAATCTTTTTTGATTAGGTGTGATTGACCACCTATTAAAACATATCCTTTTAATAAATTTTAAAATTTTATTAAAATGATATGTTTTAATAGATGGCCAATCACACCTAGCCAAAAAAGATTGGTGGCGATTCCATTTTTTTTATTTCGTTTCCAAATTTATCGGACGGGCACAAAACCATTACGACAATCAATAAAAACTATTTTTCTGATAGTGTCAAGTTCAGCGCCATCTCCACAAAGATTGGCCTAGTCGTTTGTAGACAAAGGGGAGACTGACCATATATCTCACCCAACAGTTAAGACCCACCGCACTTAACCCTCCAGTCCTCCAGGCCATACATCTCACGCAACACTGAAAACCCCATGTCTTCATGTCGTATATACAAGGAATACAAATTATGGCGACCCCTCCGAAACAATTCCTTTTATCGCATATGGGGTCCGTGCTGCTCCCTTGGCTATTGTTTGCTCATTGGTTATACAAGTTACATCAAATCATATTCAACATATATATCTCAAATAATTATAATGTTTATTACACAAGTTACATACGGTTCTCACTTCTCACTCTCGACTCTCCTTCTCCAATGAATTTTTTAACTTGCAATCCATGAATCTCACCGCCAAACAATGAATCCTACTTGCCATTTTGTATTTTAAAACAACGTAACTATACTGCAGCAATCGAAATTTTAAGTTCTACAAGTAAATTTGATTTTATTAAAATTTTTTTTAATCATTCGAAATTTTTTATTTTGATCATTTAACTATTAAAAGATAATAGATGTTCGTTATCTAGCATTCCATGTGCCATTGCCAGGTAGTTGCATCCGCGTCAAGATTTTCTTAAGTCAAATCATAGGAAAAACAAAATGACATTTAATGTTTCTTTGTATATTGAGCTTATGAACATAGGAAAAGTGGTCTAATTGGCTGCCGTGCTCAATTGAATTGTCTTTCAAACCCAATTCCGTGGAGAACATGCAGATTTGCGAAAAAAAAAAAATCGTTTTCATTTTCTCTTGTCAACTTGAAATATTCATAGGTTTAGATGCAACTACTAATACTGGAATTGATCAAATCTTTATGAAAATATTAAATTAAATAATAATAAAATTTGCTATAAAAACTCGACAACTGCGACTTAGTTTTTTATCTTCAGGTTTTTTTTTTAATGAAAAAATTGCCATAAGAAGACATCAAAGAATCGAAGAATCCGATTGGTCAAAATGCCTGGTTGATTATTAGTACTACTAATTTGTTTATTTTGTTTTGTAACTTCTAGTATTATTAAAAAAATTTAGTTCTAGTTATTAATTTAATAAAACTATGCCTCGATCCCAAAGTAATTGAACTTTCATTAATGGGTGCATTTTACAATAACATTAAATTATTTTCTTCCCAATTGCTATGGAATAAACTAATTATTAATTTTTCACTCTGCCCTTTTTTTTCTAAAATAAATGATAATTATATTGGTCTTTTACTTTTTTTTTAATATGTTGCTAGCTGTTTGTTTGGAGGTGATTAGTTTTTAATTGATATAAGTCAATTCTTTCTATCCAGCTTGATGATCATGTCACTCTATCTTTACTATTTTAATAAAATAAACTAAGAATAGAAATAGTAGAAGACGTCAATGGCATTAACATATTACGAAGACAAGAAAGAATAGAACAATGAACAAGGTTAGAAAATCTTTTCATTTTACTAATTGAAAGTTGACCATAAATTTTAAATTTAATTTAATTAGTTTATATAATCATTTAAATAAATAATATTTAATAAATTAAAAATAAAATTTCAATGGTCACAATATTTTTTTCCTCGAAATTAACTTATCTTTTATTAAAAAAGGAATTGAAAGCTGATGATATCTAATTGTCTTTTGCTCATAGCATAAAATATAATTTGGAGAAATGGATGTCTCCTAAAACCTAATGATTGAACTTTGATCCCAAATTAATTATATTCCTTTAAATATTTTACCTTTGAGAAAATCAGTGGTAAAAGTTGTTCTCATGGTTCACATTTTAAATTTAAAAAGTATCATATTCAAATTCAACGTCCAAGGTTAAATCTATAGAAACGAAGACTTTTACATAATTAAATACTGAATTTTATATTATAGCTTAGACATCTAGTTTAATTACAATAGTTTTTGTTTCGATAAATCTAATACGTAATTGCAATAAGCTTGCCAAGTTGGGTTAGGCCACGGGAAGGATTTGAAGTACAAAGTTTCGTCCAACCAAAGGGAGGAAATGTCACTTTCACAAATCAGTTATCCAAGTGATTTTTCTCCCAAAACCCAAATTTCAGACCTATTGGCTCTTGACATTGACATATGATCTATGCTACCAATTTTTGCCATATTATTTCCACCGAAAAATAAATTTTTTTCTTATGGTGGGTGAGAATGCAATAATTTAAAAAAAAAAAAAAACTGATCGGAAAATTCAATAATTTTTTGTGGTCCAACAATTGCAAATAAGCTAGTTTTGAAGTTTAAACCTATTTTTAAGGGTTTACCCTTTTGTGTTAATATACTTAATCATCATTGTTTTAATATTAAAAGAGATGATTATAATTTTGATATCTAAATTATGAGAAAATATATAAATTAAAAAATAAAATACAAAATATATAATTTACATTATAAACTTTCAAATAATATATAATTTACATTTTAAAATTTTAAATTATATATTACATTAACCAAAACTTTAATCCCATTAATTTATCAACTTATATACGGTATTTGATAAATATTATTAAATTATGTATTTATCACATATATTATCAATATCTTTTTTTTTCAATATAAATTAAAATATGTATTTTTTACTTGAATTATAAAAATTATCTAAAATTAATCAATCATTTTTATCATGTAACATCCATATAAAAGATTTTATAAAATGCTCTAACATTTCTATTTAATAAATTATAGGAATATAATAAAATTATATTGATTAGATACTATATAGAGATATTAAGTTAATAATATTAGAATTTAGATAAAAATAATACATTATTTGAAAGTTTAAAATGTAAATTATATAATTTATTTTTTTAAGTACTAAATTATATATTTTTCTAAAATTTATATACCAAAAATACAATTAACTCAATGTCAAACTATAAGGAGACTGTACAAATCCATTAGGTTGATTCTTAAGCTCATTTGTCATGCCCACACGTTATGAAAAACCTATAATGTCAGTTCATTCAAAATTAAAAGTTTCTTATATATATATATATATATATATATAAAAGATGCCAAAATCTAAAGAGAATTAGAGAATGAGATTTAAAATTTGACTTAAACTCAGATTATTATTTTATTTTTTTTTAAATTTGAATATACTACAAAAGGTTGATTCTAGTATATTGTAGCTAGGATTGATTTCCCACCCAAAACCTCACCAGAAGCCAAAAAATTCCAATTAGTAGTAAGTTCTATGTTCATAATTTGTTGCCTATTCTCCAATTGCCTCAATCAGCATGACAAATATTCTTCAATTTTTTGGGTAAATAAACGTCTTATCAAAATGTCTTTTTGATAAAACTATAAAGACAGCAAAAAAAAAAAAAAAAGTCTTCATTTGCTATCAAAATGTTTTATCAAACAAAATTTTTTTTACATTTTCAAATAAAAAACATATTATCTCATTGGTTTGACGTGATGCCCATACTCTATCCTTATCATCAAAGTCACTGATTTTTTTTTATCAAAGCCCCTCTTCCAACGGTGCATTTTATTCCATATGTCACTTCATTAATTTAATTTTTATGAAATTTCTTCAACGGTGCATTTAACGATTTTCTTTTGTCCCATTGTAAAGCTAAATCACATTTCCTATTATTGTTTTTGTTGGTTCCCCATTTGAATAGTGATTAAGTTCACAAATAATAAGTCAAAGTGAAAGAGAGATGAAATTGTGAGTCAGCTACAAACCAAAAGGGTATATTATTTTTATGGGTTTTAAAAGCTAATAAACAACCATAAATTGTTATTAATAAAGTTTGAAATTAAAAAAAAACCACTCATCAAAGTTATTTCCAAAGTTTTATACATATTTATATATGATTTTATATTTGATGTGTTGTAAATATATAAACGTTATATATTACAGATACATCATAAATTATCACAATATTAATTAATAAATTAAAAAATTTAAAATCCTCAAAAAAATATTTTTAAAATTTAAATATTTAACTATGTTAAATCAAATTAATAAAAGGGCTTCTTATTGTGATATAATGACAATCTACAGTAAATCAAATATAAAACTTTTATATATTTTCGTCAAAATAGAAAAAACCTAACTATGACTTGTGTGATTTTATATTATAAAAATATGACAAGTGACAAGTGACCTGTTCGCAAAAATGGGACAAATTGAAAAAATTCCCCCAGAAAATTACAGTAATCCTAAGAAAGAAAAGTTGTGAAAAAATAGCCCATCAACTTAGCAACTTATTCCCACATGGAAATTTCAAAGCTGCCTGGGATTAGATTCTCTGCAGCCCACATCTGATCAGAAAATCCTCTATACAAATCTTGTGGTGGATATGCCCACCCATCAACGTAGTCAAGGAGGATAAACTCGTTTTGTGAGTCAAATGACGAATCGAAATTCCCGTCTATATTGGGTAACTGAACAATTTCACTCAGTTCCTCAGGTTCTTCCGAGGCATTGGACTCTGACAGAGATGATGATTCGGATACTAAAGATGAAGAGCAAGATGATGACGATAGGCTATTGAAATTGACCATTGAAGCAGCTTTAGCTGCAGCAGCTTGGATGTCACGGGGCATTAACGAAACTGGTCGAGGAAGCAACTCGGCAAGCTCAGGGAAGTTGAGAATTGCCGAGTGACCTTTGATGCTTAAAGCAGCTACATCATGAGCACGCGCTGCCATTTCTGGGGTAGCGAAAGTACCAAGCCAAATGCGAGATTTCTTGCCGGGTTCACGGATTTCGGACACCCATTTGCCCCAACTCCTGATTCTGACTCCCCTGTAAACTGGGTGCTTGCTGCTTGAGTCTCTTGGTCTTTTAGCTTTGCTGTCTGCCTCCGAGGCTTCACGATTGGGTTTCCTTGACAAGTTGTGGCGAGTTTGTGAGAAAGAAGATGTGCGGGATGAGTTGGAATTATTATTGGTGCTGCAACTCTCAGTTTCTGATGATGAAGAATGGTTTGGCTCTGTCATTGTCTTAAAAGAGAGTGACCCAAATTTTTTATGATTCTAATGCAGGCTGGAGAAAAGTGGGAGAGTTATATAGAAATATATATAGGGAAAATGGGAGGGGCAGGAAGAGTTTTGTATGATATAAAAAGGACGCTCCCTTCCAAAGTGACCCTTACCTACCATTATTTGATTATTTCAAAATTGCAAACAAATTGCAAGAAATTTTAAGAATATTGTGAATGAAAGAGAAGATTAGTCAATTGGTACAATAACCAAAAAAAAGAAAAAAAAAACGCAAAAGGAGAGAGAAAAAAGGAGACGAGAAAAATTATAACTAATATAATTTTAAAATATGATATAATAATATAATAAAAAATAAAAATTTAAAATTTAAAATTTAAAATTTAAAATTTTAATAAAAATAAAAGTTATATTTTATATTTAATACGCAAGATGCGATAATTGTGCAACTGAAAATGGGTCAGCTTACTCAAAGCATATCTACAGTGAAAAGTAGTGGGTTCTCACATTTATATATACAAACAGTCAAATACATGTGTCCCTGTAACTTTTCAATTGGAACTGTATTGTTTAAGGCCATTGGAAGTCCACGTCGCACGATATTGAAAATCCTTTGTTCACTTTTGGGCCTTTGGTGGTTAACCACTTAATCACGACCTTCACTTCGCCTCTTTAGTCTTTCCCACCCTATTCTATTCAAAGCCACCTCATGATGATTCCAATCATCGCCTTTTTCACTGCCGATATATACTCTTAATTGCTCTTGAACAAACTCTTATTTGTATGTTAGTATTTTACTTTCTTACCCAATTTCTTATTCTGATATTTCAAAATATTTCACCAACAAATTTTCCCTATAGATATATGATCACCCAACCCTAATCATGCATATGTTAATGTGCATAATATGAAAAAAAAAATGGTTTGCATATAGTTTATTTTTTTCAGATTTTTTATATCAAAATTGTCTTACGCGGCTAAAATTATATGGATTGTTGTTTTCTTACAGCTACTTGATTGAAGCAGAAAAAAGGGATTTGTATTAATTATTTTTATTTAATTTTCTTAATCAATATTCCCTATCACATGGCTTATGATCAATTTCAGGCAGGTGCATGTGGCTGTTAGACCAAGGTTGAAATAACGTTTTTCACATTTTCTTGCACATGATTGGTAAAATACAGTTCATGTACTTTTAGATCAATATTTAAATCTATAATATAAAAAATATGAAAATATTAGAATGCTAATGTTTCCCTTAAATTTCCTGGAGAGATTAATAAACTTATCAAGTAAAATCTTTGCTTGATAACAATGCAAGGTATAATGGATTAGATAATATGATTTATTTAAAGTGCTATTGTTTATGTGTATATTGATAGTTTAATTTTTTAATTTTATAATCAGGATTAAAATATTATCATATATCTCATTTTTTATAATTTTTTATTATTTTAATAATTTTAAAATGTATGTTTCACATTATTAATTTTAATTACGAAGTCTAAAAACTTCATTGACATTAGGTGAGATAATTTGTCTTGTCGACTTGGTACATTTAGCATTGCTTAGTAAGTCATTGTTTTATGGAAATAAAATTCTGAAATATTCTCCTTCTTTAATTTCCATTTATAAGATGACTTGGTCACACGACAAAAATATGGTCCTAAATTAATTTCTCTTCCATTAATGGAGGTAGCATTCAATTTCGGCTTCTAGTTTTATTGGCTAAAGTGAGTGGTATGGTCATCAAATTTACATTTTCTTTATTTGAATCAATCTGCTGAACGTGAAACGACATGCAAGGACGGATTTACGAAATCCTATAATTTTTTTTAAATATATTATGATATTAGACAAAAGTTTTAATATTTTTACATTTTGCCCCCACTAAATTAAAAAAGAAAAAATATAAAAGGGAAGGATTTTAAAATAATATAAAGTATAGATATACTTTAGTAAAAAAAAATTGACTTGTTTCAAAAGAAAATAAAAGTATTAAATGTAAATTTTAATAAATTTTGGCTTATAAATAATTATTTCATGTAAGTTTCATTTTAGCTAACTTAAGTCACAATCTAGTATTACTTTTCTCTCTTTTGCCTCTATCTATCTATTTTCCTCTCTTTCTATTTACAGACTTCATCTTTTTTTTTTTTTACTTATGTGAAATATCATTATATTATTGTAAAAGTGTCAAAGTCAAGTATAAAATGATAAAATATTTGTAAAAAAAAAAAAGGTGCAAATTAAAGCTAAACTAATCTTGTATAGTAAAATATAGGTAACAAGTAAAATGACACTATGATAAAACACTCATGATACAAAAATTTATTTTTAAGATATCAAAGTACTTTATTCTCTTGTTTTTTTTTTTTTTTTTATATTGATAATGTGATCATGTGTTTTTTTAACATTATTTAGAATATATAATAATATGTATTTGATGAAAAATAATATGTATTTGATGTAACCTAAAAAACTTGTAAAGATGTAATCTAACAAAATCTAAAATTTAGAAAAAAAAAAAAAAAAACCTAGGATCAATTTTAAAATTATTAAAAAAGTTAAAATATATATAAAAGTAGCTTGTTGTTGGTCCTATTTTATATTTTCATATCTTATCTTATGTCTTAAAAACTATAGAGAAATTAAATTAATATTTGCTTTAAGTTAGTCAAAAACAAATATCATTAGTAAGAGAAAGTGAATTTTTAAAAAAATATTTGAAATTGAATAAAATTATATATATTTTAATATTGACAATGAAAAAAAAATTCCTAGATTTTCTACTTATGAAAACTATTTAACTCATTATATAACAATATTTTCTTTTGAAAAATGATAATGTTATGTGTTTGTGTTTATTTGATATTTAAATTTTTGATTCATTTAATATTATAAGTTTTTGTTATATTTATGTTAATTTCTATTTAAACTTTTTATATATTTGATATTATAAAAAAATATTTCAAATTCTTTTATTAAAACTATGTTTTACAGTTAAAAAACATTACCTTTATATTAAATAAAAAAATTTAAATAAATATATTATATAATAAATTTAATCTCACTGAAGAAAAATTTTGGATCCGACCCTGAAGACATGGCTGTACTGAACTTCAATCTGCTTTCCACATGGGCAGAACAGTCATGTTGACTTCGCACAAGTTTCGCTTTAAACGTTTTAAAATGCTATTGTTTATATCTCTATCCCCAAATGGTTCAGACACATGTTTCATGGATATATATATATATATATATTTATATTTATATGGATCGAAAATTACCAAGATTTTCGACTAAGCATGCATAGACTTTTTAAATATATGAAATACAACCCACATGAGTTTTAGATTTCACTTTCAGCCGCCTCATTTTGACTAGTAAAAATTTATGTACTGTAATATGCCATTTCAAGCTGTGTCCCCTCCCCTTCCTCCAAATGAAGTACTGCATTATATTTAATATTTAGGGCATGTGTACACAAAAGGATTTCGATGGTATGGAAAGTACAATACTTGTGCCATTTTTTCTCTTTACAATTGAAAGCCAGTGTCAGATATTTTCAATGTAAAATTGATTTACTTTTTTTTTAATATTATTTTTTTAATTTCAAGATTTAAATTTTGATAGTCTTAAATATATAATAAAAAATTAAATCATAACTTTGCACATTTGATTTTGTGATGACTTTGTTGGTTTTTTTTTTTTCTCTAGAAGAAGTTTAACATCTCATAAGTTTTCTTTAAAAAAAAAAAAAAAACCTCCATTTCCAAACATCCGATCTAAATTCCTAAAATCTACATCAATTATATTGATGAATGATGAGAACACATGCAGCTCCCATCTTATTTAACCAAATTCAATCAATTACTTCTTGTAAATTATAGTTGTTTTGTAAAATAAAATATCCTAAGAAGTTTATAGAAAATAAAAATCGGGTTTCCATTTCAAGCAAAAGGCAAATATAAAAAAAATAATAATAATAAAAAAAAACCTCCTTGGTCAATCAAGACATAACTCATAAGTAAATGTGATTGATTTGGTAGGAGAAGATATAAAAATGGAGCAACCCAATTTTTACTTTCCCAAAATATGAATTTTGAAGAAGTTCGAGTAATTGAAAGTGATTAATGCGTTCAAGTGCAACTGAGATTTGAAATTTTGACAATTTTTTTGTTTTTTTTTAAATCTCTTGTTTCTGGCAGACTTGAAGTGGAATTGGAATCTCGCCTGTCAGATAAGCCAAATACTATATGAAAAGGCAGCGATGAAAACGCTCTTCAAAAAGTTGCTTTTATAATTGCTCATTTATCTAAATTTCAAAGTGGATTAAACAATAGGCTGCCCAGTATGCCACCACTAATTTGGAAACTCAACCTCATAAATTAAACATAACCCTTCGCATGTTTTTGTCCTAAAGATTGACTGAAAACAAGGGTAAATATGTAATTTGATTTTTAAACTATATGACTTTCACTATTTATATTTATTAAAAAAACTTACGATTTAATACTTTAATTTTAGTTTCATTAATTAGCATTTTGCATTGCTAACTAACAATGTTAATCAAAATGATGATATGACGAATATTCACCAATGAAAATGAATCATGTATCATAAATTTATTCGTTATTTTTTTTCACATGTTAACATATTATTAACAAAATTAGTGCCTGAAGCAGATAACGTGCCAAAATGAAAATTTGGTATCAAATCATAATTTTTTAGAAGTATCAAATCCGGAAAATATGTTATTCAAGAGTAAAATTACATATAGACTCTTATAATAATAATAATAATAATAATAATAATAATAATAATAATAATAATAATAATAATAATACCATCACATATAAAATATAATGATAAAAAAAATAGAACTTCAAAGTTATGTAGGGGGAAAAATGGAAATTGTTCTATAAATGGATTAGGATTAAATCCAACAAAAAAATTCCAGGTCAGTGAGTTTGTTCAAATAATGTCATTTTTTTTTCTATTTGATGACTAAGAAATCTGAAACTTTTCCTTTGATATATTATTACATAGTTTGAAGAAGGTCAGTCGCCTAAACTTTTTAGAAAAACTCATAGTTTGGAAAAACCCAGCTTCTTCGATGCTGGATTTG